ATCATTATATCTGCACTGTTTGTTTACTTCACTGGTTTGCACTCTATCTGCCATGTGCCTTGTGCTGCTTTATATATTTTTTTTACATTTTACCTGTTATCTACCTTACATTTGTATAGTTGTATTTTATATTTAATCTGTATCTATCTGTATTTATGTTCTACTGTTAGTGTTATCTGTATGCACCAAGGGTCTGAGAGTAACGCAATTTCAATTCTCTGTATGTATGTGCTGTACATGTGGAATAATTGACTATAATGCAGACTTGACTTGACTTGTCGCCGCGTAACGCTAGCGACGGACGCGTCCCTCACCGGTTGGGGAGCGCTCTTGAGTGGCCACCCTGCCCGCGGTCTGTGGAGTGGTCAACTGCCTGGAGTTGCTGGCCGTGTTTCGAGCCCTCAAACACTTTCTTCCAGACCTAAGAGATCGCCATGTGTTGGTGCGCACCGACAACACAGCGGTGGTCTTTTATATCAACCACCAGGGAGTTCTGCGTCCGCGCCCCTTATACAAGCTGGTGCACCAGATCCTTGTGTGGTCCCAGGGCAAACTTCTCTCGCTGAGGGCAGTTCATATTCCTGGGCATCTTAATATGGGAGCAGACATCCTGTCGAGGCAGGGGCCGAGGCCCGGGGAATGGATGCTTCACCCCAAGGTGGTGAAGCAGATATGAAGAGTTTTTGTCCAGGCTCAGGTGGACTTGTTTGCGACCTGTCAGACATCGCAATGTCCTCTCTGGTTCTCTCTGACTCATCCAGCTCCACTGGGGCTGAATGCTATGGTACAGACTTGGCCGAGGTTTTGTCTGTACGCCTTTCCCCTGATCGCTCTGCTCCCGGGAGTTCTAGAGAGAGTACGTCAGGACGGGGTCCGTCTATTGCTAGTAGCCCCGTTCTGGCCGGGCCGAGTATGGTTCTCGGACCTGATTTCTCTCCTCGACGGCACTCCATGGGAGATTCCCGTCAGGAGAGATCTCCTCTCACAGGCGGAGGGTATGATCCTTCACCCCTGCCCAGAGTTGTGGAAGCTGTGGGTGTGGCCCCTGAGGGGGCACAACTCATAGTCTCTGGTCTCTCAACCGAGGTTGTTGAGACCATCCTCCAATGAGGAAACTGTACGCCCTGAAGTGGAGACTCTTCACTTCATGGTGCGGAGACCGCCTGCTTGACCCAGTTAACTGCCTGATTGGTACAGTGCTGGAGTCCTTGCAGGCCCGTTTCTCCGTGGGGTTAACCCACTCCACCCTGAAGGTCTACGTGGCAGCTGTAGTGGCCTACTACACCCCTCTTGATGGTCACTCAGTGGGCAAGGACCCCCTGGTTACACGTTTCCTCCACGGTATGATGAGGCTGAGGCCTCAGGTACGATCT